CCATCATTGGCTGCAAACAAGACAATCTGAAAGAGATGTTGGAGAGGAGGACACTGAAGAAACTATTATCCATATTGGATAACCCGGACCACCCTCTCCACCGCCTGAAGGTGCTACAGCGGAGCACTATCTCCAACAGACTGCTCGTGCTCCACTGTCACAACGAAAGATACAGGGGATCATTCCTGCCTTCTGCTATTAGACTGTACATTAAATCACCAAATCACCTCTGAACAAACCATCATGACTACACACCGCTATACTGTGGTTGTTTGCTGTTGGATGATCTTTGCACTACTTGTTTTTTTACCAAGTTAGTTAACTTAACACTATTCTATATATTTCATTGTATTTTTATTATTTTATTTTCTTATATTTAATATGTTCTACTCTGTTATTTTATTGTATATATTGTGCATTTTTCATACTTAATATTTTTACTCGTTTGCTGAAGTATATCTTTGCTGCTGTAACATACAAATTTCCCTGGGGATGATTCAAATATCTATCTATCTATCTATGCATGAGAAAGACCGTTTGCTGTTTCTGCAATTTTTTCGAATTGTTGACAATCAATGCGGCTGTCTGCAAAAGCCCCATAAATAACCTGAGATGATCTAATGAGGGCAATGCACAGATGTAGAAAAGGTTACATATATCATATATCATCCATTTTAAGATATCCCTCCCGTCTGTCTAGTCCAGAATGAAGATGGAAGAGGACTGTAATGGGAAAATATGTCATAGTCTCATGTGAAGGTTTAAAGAATGTAAGTCCTAAAAGAGCAGACACCAAACTGTAGTTTCAGTAGATGACTTTAATTAGTTTAGTATCCAGGTGTCTTGTTATCTGTTATCATTGTGCACTGTTTCTTTCTTCTTCGTATCTGTTATCTTGTGCACTGTTTCTTTCTTTTTCATAAGACAGAGACACAGAGAGGCCTTGACTAACAGAGATCCTCTGTTTGAAATACTTTTGACTTCCTTTGTGACGCATTATCTGAAGTTGTAAAGGCGTAAACCTTTGCATGCATATATGATGTGTGAGAGTAAAGAATGTCTATTCTGTCTCTGCAATGGTCATTTTAACAATGTCACAGTGGCTTCAAAGGAAGCATCTGCTGTGAGTTTTAAACGGTTTATTGTAAGGCAAACTGTGAACAAAGGGGAGATAAAGCATCTTCCTGACTGTCTTAAATGAATTATACTAAGGCTTGAAGGATGACCTGCCTTTTATTGTGTTCGTGTTCTTTGTGTATTCTTGTTAGCTAAGCAGATAACAGGAAGCTGTCTGAGCATAAATGTCCATGCATTGTGACTGTTAGGTAGACCACTCTTACAGATCACTGCAATGTGTCTGTGAGACTGTTCTCTTTGCTTGCAAGCAAATAAATTGACTTTACAAACCTTGATCGTTCATCAAAACTCTGTTTAGTTTATATTGATAGAAAACCTTCACTTTCTTCTCCCGACTAGTCATAAGAAATATTCCACAACAGGACTTTCTTTATTTTGTGTTTTCATGTATTGTATTGAAGCCCCAGAAGCCCAGGGGCCACCTTCGCTTTTGGTATGTGATAATATAGTGAATTGTAATATTTCTGGGAAATAAGCATACTGTTAAACTGTTGGTATAAAGAAAATGATATATAAAAAACAAAAATCTGTTACTACTTGTTGCTTAATCATTATTGACTCGGCCTATACTCTGCTAAAATGCATTAATAAAAGACACATGTTGTGTCCTTTGGGTTATGCGTCTCCAAGGTTCCCTCACTGGTATCTGGAGCAGGCTGGCTTCAAGCCCACTGTCCCTTGACCAGCAGCTTATGGAGCTGCAGATAGCAGCAGCTGAAAGACTTTATCTGAAAAGCCTCCTGCAACGTAAAATATACTTGGCAGGGAAACCTCTGAGTCACATTTCACATATTTCTTCCTTGTCATGGTCTAAAATGAGGCAGTTTCAGGAAACACAAATAAATGTGGAACAGTTGGAGCTCTAAGCAAGTAGCAACTCTATTTAGAGAGAAAATAAGAAATGTAATTTATTTATATCTTGACTTTCATCTACTTACACTGTAATGAATTGCTGGAAATTTACAGTGGATTTTCCACAGTATTTTACAGTATTTCATAATAACTAACATACAGTTAAATGTTAATCCCTCGCATGTAAATTAACAGTCAATTCCGTCAATTAACAATATCAGCAGACTACTGTAATTTATCAGCATAATACAGTACTTTCTGTGAAGTGGTGGAAATACGCTTCACTATACAAGTTCAGCGAATCACAATCCATTTACATCGTACTGTCTAATTTAGGTTAATGTATCTGGAATGATGATAGAATATTTTTTATTATTCAAACTGCCTAAAAATCGTTTTTGAGTGACAAGACGTGACCGACTGCTCCTGAACGTGACTTTGGACACAACAGCTTAAGTTCATCCTTCTGAGCACAGACATGTGAAGATCAACAGAGGAGCCGAGGTAACTTAAGCTTATCACCCGAAATTCAAAGTCTCCAGTGTTGTTTTGTCTTCATGATTATTGAACTGTTAACATGTAAGTGGCTTTGGATAAAAGCGTCTGCTAAATGACTGTAATGTAACATCTCAGATAACGTTTCACTTGGTCTGTTTCATTACATTAGGTTGCTAATATTGGTGGAGCTAGCTCTGTGACATTAGGTAACATAAGTAAAGTTAATCACCAATTACAGTGTTAAGATGTACCATTAGTAACTTGTGTTTACTTGTGCTATTATTGAACAGCTGAAACTCATTTTAGGGTTGAACGTTAGTTCATTGTTCATTATGGTCCATTGTCTTAGCTTCATTTCTTCACCTAACGTAATCAGCTCATCACATAGGCAAGTCTGTTCATTTAAACTGTATGGTATTGTTGTATTAGCTTTTTTCAAAGACTTGCACTGATATGTTAACACATGTGAGGCACATGCGAACCCCCAGTTGCACAACCAAAGCTTCTTTTAAGTGTGTGTTATCCTCGATGTCGTAGAACATTCCAGAAGTTCAGAACATTGAGTTTCAAATTTTTTATATTTTGTTTGTTTACAGTCACTCGTCATCAGAGGTTGAGGATACCAGCCAGACGCTGCAGTCAAGTCCTCTTTTAAGGTGTTCTCTCTCTTTATTGTTTTCATTCATGTGTGAGTTCATGCAGTTCAAATTAACTATAAAAGTGTATAAGACTTGTTAATATAGACTGTGATGCAGTTCTATTACACTGTTCTTGATACCATTTCAATCAGCGTTTCACTCTTAATGCTATTTTAATTCAGTGACTGAGGGAGTGACGCCGAGATCGAAAAGTGGCCGATGGTATGCCACCTGTGGTTTAGCGGTATGTACCTATCCCTGGGGTGTGCCACTGTTGTTCAGCAGTATGGAACTTTCTCTGGGGTGTGCCACTGTTGTTCAACGTGTTGGAAAAATACAGAATGATATATGCATAATGCTTGTACTTTTACATTACCCTGTTATGATGCTTGTTTATCACTGTGTATAAAAGACAGAGACTAAGAGACAGATCTCTGAGCAAGCAACGAGACGCATAACTGTATGTGCTATGACTCTGCTTCTTCTTGCAAGAATAAATCTCCTGATTATTGATTTCACACTTGGTGTCGAGTAGAATTTTTTCTAACAAGTGGTATGTACCTATCCCTGAGGTGTGCAACTGTTGTTTCGCGGTATGTACCTATCCCTGGGGTGGTATGCCAGTACTTTTCCAAAGGCACACAGTTTCCTGAAGGCAGGTGCCGCTTGAAAGTTCATATTAGTGGTTTATGCCGTTGAATCAGAGTGGTATGCCATTCATATCAGTGGTATGATGTATACTGTATATATATAATATTATATACATATATATTAGGTCTGGGCAAGTATTATTGCGTTAACGCATTAATTCATTAACGCCGCCAATTATTTTATCGCGCATTAAAGCAGATTTTTTTTATGCAATACACACCGTTGATGCCAGCAAATCATCCAAACAAACAGTTAAGGAAGTCTTCGGCAGACTATGTTAGATGCAGCGTGTGGGAGAAGTATAGATAAACAAAAGCAAGACACGCTAACAAATTCCATAGCGAAGTGGATAGCTACAAACTGCCGGCTGATTAGTATTGTGGAAGATGTCGGTCTGAGGAACGTTCTCAAGGTGCGTCTGGTGTTAACGCACCTTTAGGATCGCAACGAATGACGGCACGTATGAGCCTCCCTCAAGACGCACCATCACAAGAACAATAAACAAGTTGTATGAAAGGGAGAGGACTACAAAAGCGACGGCGTTACAATGTGCACCAACTGTTGCTCTCACTGGAGACCACTGGTCATCGCTGGGTAACTGTTGGAAAAACTTAAATAATGTTTTTGTTTAGCCACTGTAATCTAAGCAGCTGGTTCCATAAAGTCTGTGTCCATATATGAACCAATCTTCACACAAGCTTTCTCAGCTGTGTTCTTCATTAAGTGTCTTAGTTGTCTTTCTTATTTCTTAACATGTATTAAACTGCAACAATTATGTATTGAATGTCTATTGTGATTCTCTTATTTGTTGGCAATTAAATGCAAAAGTATTGGGTTGTATTAGCCTTTGTAAATAAACGGTAACATTATGGCATATACCGTAAAATCACCGTAAAACCCAGTTATCCTACTACCACATACCATAATCCAGTATATGGTAAGATACTGGAAAAGTAAATTACGGAAGCTTCACCCTAAAGAAACAGTAAATTACTGGCGTCCCTGCTGCCAGTAAATTACCGTTATTTTACGGTGAAATTGTTTAGAGTGTAGTTAAGCAGCCCCAGAGCAGATACAGTACTTCAACCTTCTCATATTGTTACAACCTCACAGCAGGTGGACTTTGACGCTTTACGCGCATCACTGTTATGGTAGAAGTCTTCGGCGTGACGCACGTGAAGCAGCAGATAGCGCAGTGGTGCGGAGCCCCCACCCTGCCCTGCCTGCTGCCCGATAACACGGAGCATGGAAAACAACACAGCCGCTGAGACCTTCACCATCACGCCACGTTTTATTCTAACCAGAGGATTTCTGAACTTTTACTCACCATTCGCTTCTGCGTTTTTTCTGATAAATAAAATGTTTGATTAACACCTTTTTGCGCACACGTTTGGCCCCTGCTGTAAATGTGACCTGCGTTAAAAAAAAAGTCGTCTCACACTCGCTGCGATGCTCTCAACGAAGCAGAAAGAGCTCATTGCAGAAATATGGGGAGGACTGACTCCTGTGGCAGAAGATATTGGAGCAGACGCGCTTCTTAGGTGGGTTCTTGCCTGTTGCGCACATTTCCTCAATATAAACTGTGCTAGAAATACAAGTAATTGCATGAATTAAGTATATTAGTTGTAGTAGTATATAGAAACGAGATATTAGATTGATAGACTGCTCGATGTAACTCAACTCTCACACAAAGGTCTGGTGTGTGTTTCTGAATGTTGCACAGATATATTCATCCTGGCTTTTCATCATAACTTCCAAAAATAACCAACCGCTTTAAATCTAGGCCCCTGCTAATGACTTGATAACTTCCTGCCTTAGAAATTTAAACGATTTTCTCTCTTTTGTGAATGACTTAGTCAACGTGTGTTACTAAGGAATTGATGGTTTATTACCATTTATCAATAAGTTATTGATATTTATAACTGTATACTTGATATAAAGAATTGGTAAATTATTTATTATCAACTGTTGGTTTGGCAATTGATAAACATGTAATTCCTGACACTGTGCATTAGTCAGAATTTGCTGAGTCATCAAACTCGAGATAGTGGTGTGATCCTTCATCAGTGTAGTGAAATGTTCAAATGAGTGGACTGTGAGTTAACAGCAATGGTGATGATGAAGATGATGATGATGAAGAAGTGGCCTATATCAGTCTCCATGTATATTCATACTCATCATTATTGATACTGTTTTCTGCGTTTCAATTACAAATGTGCATCACTGACCAAACTCCCAATCCCTCCGCAGGATGTTTGCCTCTTATCCCGGTACCAAGACCTACTTTTCCCATCTCGACATCAACCCTCGCTCCGCTCACCTGCTCTCTCACGGGAAGAAGATTGTTCTGGCCATAGCAAAGGGAGCCAAAGACATCAGCCAGCTGACCGTCACGCTGGCTCCTCTGCAAACCCTGCACGCCTACCAGCTCCGGATAGACCCGACCAACTTCAAGGTGCTTTAGCAAGAACATCAGTTCTATTGATGGATCACACAAGTAAAAGTACTTATTGTAAAAGAAATGCTTAAATGCTTAGAAATGATTAAGTATAATCAGGAAAATGTACTTAAAGTTGATGTACGTACTTGTACATTTCCTTGTGTTTTGTGTGTAGTAATCTAAATGTATGAGTAGTAACTAAAGCTTTCAAATAACTGTAGTTGAGTAAAAAGCTCAATTTTCTCTCTGAATTGTAATAAAGTAGAAATGTAAAGTGGCATGATAAGAAAAGTATGTCAAATTTGTACTCAACTTGAGTACAGCACTTGAGTAAATGTACTTAGTTACATTCCTCTGCTTATTGAAATGTTTGATCACAGTATGGTGTTGAGTTTTCAGTGGTTTGAAAGTGACGTCATCTCAAGTCCATATCAGATGAAACTGACGTCAGCGGGAGCAGCTGTTGAAAACTGCAAAAACAAAATTGGCTGCCCATGTAGCTCACTGGAACCCCAGCATGGAATCAGCATTCAGTCTGTTGTCACTAACACGCCCTTACCTTCTCTGCAGCTCTTCTCACACTGTATGCTCGTCACCCTGGCCTGTCACATGGGGGACGACTTCACACCGGTTGCACACGCGGCAATGGACAAGTACCTGTCAGCTTTCGCAGCCGTACTTGCCGAGAAGTACAGATGAGACCCCAGCCACGTATATGAACCATTTATGATGCAATATGATATGAAATATTTATTTATGTGTAGTTAAAAATGTGTAGCACAATAAAATGTGCAATTAACACCTTTTCCTGTTGTGTTGTATTACCATATAAAGTCTCATAGGACATTTATTAGAAATGATGTACTGCTGCCCATTTTCAAAGCATACGATAAATAAAGTGTCTTCTCAAAGCGGCCATTTTGACATGTCATTGCAGGGTAAACAGGTGTAATTGATGACATCAATTGTGGCCCTGTTCCATTTATGTGGCCCTGGTGTTGCACATGTTGGCTGACTGGAGTGACTGTGACACAAATTAGAATGGTACCATATTTAATTTGATCAATTACACCTGTGCTTATCCTGCTATGACATATCAAAATGTCTGCTGTGACAAAGGTCTGACACTTGTAATCATGAAAGCACTTGCAAAATTCCGAAATAATACAAAAATTATAAAAATGAAATGAATTATTTTGAGTCTAGTTTTTATTTATTTATTTACTGCTCCACACTAAGTGGTTTGTCAACTTGTATCATTTCATAAAGAGGTCATTCTTTACCTTCAGGTTATTTTATAAGTAGTAAATCTCTTGTTGTCTCTGCTGTCGGAATGTGGAGGCCCAGTTTGGTGGATAAGTCACACTCTGTCTGTGTACCTTATCAATTACTTTTTACAATCAGTTCAGTAGTTTACTCATTTAATATTACCACCATCCAGATGAAGAAAGTTGCTATACAATAGAGCGAGGAGTCACTTGGTAGCAGTAGTAAGTCATTCCCCTTAGCTCCCCAACCTCCTGCACCCCAACATCTGCTCCCACCACCCCCGGCTCCTGTGCCTCGGTCTCCAGCCACAGCAGCCTGGCATCAGGGTCTTCATCAGAGAACTGGAGCAGAGACCCTGAGCTCCGCAACACCTTCAAACCCTGATTGGCCTTCCATTTCCCTTCCTTAGACCTCAACAAGGCGTCTGCGGTGCCCTTATCAACTATAAGATCCACACGAACTCAAGCCGAGAGGAAAGATTGTGAGGTTGAATGGCTTTGGTTTGGACGTGTTCCTGCATTAGTCGCACAGCTATGGGGGAAATGTCTGCGCAAGTGACCCGGACCGGGAGAGGAGAGTGTCTGTAAATACAGGGCCCTAAAGCAGAAGTGCCACAGCCCATATCCAGGACTTGGAGCAAACCGTTTGGGTGTGGCTTGGTCTGCAATAGAGGGGCATAATGACGTCCCGGACAGCATCGAAGCCAAAGAACCACTCAAAGTGTTTGTGCTGCTGCTGCTCTCAGTGTAGAAGCGGTCCCAGGTTGCTCTCTTATCCATGTTTTCAATCAGTTAAGCTAGGCAGAAACACAGATGGGATTATGTCACATGAGTTAGTGAGTGAACATTAGCAGTAAAACACAGATACAACTTGCCTTAATGACTCCTGTCATATTTGGAGGGACTTTATGCTGAAGTAAATTTAAAATCTATCAATTGAATGTGTCAAATATCTTTTCTTTTAATATATGACTTAAGACCTTTTCTTGGGTCCTTAGAAGCCACTAAGCTCGGCATGAAGACAATCTACCAAGCTGACAAACTCAAATGACTCACATTGCTCATTCAAATAAAAAAGCAACATACACTCAACAGTCCTGCATTGAATCCTCCCTTTGTGTACTTTATAGTGCTCAGTTCATCTTTAAACTGTTAAATAGATGTGTTGATGTATCCAGGCTGTGTTATATTAGAGTGCATTAGCTTGGTATCGCTAACAAGTTTGCAACCGAGTGTGACGTTATTGCACAACAAAGTGCTACTTTATGGTCAGCTTCTGTAGCTAACATATCGGTGACAATTAGCTAAGACATCAGTGCGCACACCTGCAACTCACTTTAACTTTTCTTTCTTACTTACTGTTGGAGCCATAATGTGGTTTTGTTGTTTTATTTTGTCTTTGAGGGAAACATGGGGTGGGTTTACACATGCAGTTCTGACATTGAACAGTGGGTGGCACATTGACCTAAAGTGCATATAGGTAAGGGCCTGGTAATGAGAATCAGGTGTGTGTGGACGGGAAGCTAACAGTTTTTGACCGTGTTATCGTGTCAACGTAGCGTGTCAGCCGGCATATGAGCTTGTAGTTTCGAGGTCTTATAGTATCCTGTAAAGTAACCTGTGGTACTCGGTTAAGGTGGCAATATGCATATGAATAAATGGATCTACGGATCGAAAGCCAGACAGCGCATTGGACAGTGAAATGTTTGTGGAATACGCGTCCGAACAAGTACTCCTGTTCGCCCCCCAGTGGCTTTAAGATATAAAATTGATATACGTTAAAGTCACTACACTGAGTGTTTTGTGAAGAATAAATATATTATTTCCGTTTTATTGATTATCGGAGTCTGAAAGAAGTTTTATTTTGAAAAATGACCGGATTCTCTCGCAATTTCATCCGCCTGTGCCTCTGACACATCAAGACTCTTGTCTCGGTCACGTGATACGTTACCTCAAAAATTGAGCCCGCAAACTAGCGACAATGAGTCAAAAATAACTGTTGGAGAGCTTCTTTGCAAAGCGTGAAAGGCCCACTAAGGAGACAGAAGAAGAGCTACTACTTCCAAGAAAATGAACGCTTCATTTAACAGACAATATCAGGAGTCTGATTAAATATCAGGAGTAATTCTGATGCGTCAATCCCGCTCTGCAGTATATGTGTTGACAGAGGATCAGCTGCTGGAGATTGTAAATGACGGTGGCCTTAAAAGTATGTCTGAGACAACAACTCTGCTGGTGTTTTGGATTAAAATCAAAGCTGAATATCCTGAGATCGCCACTAAAGCACTGAAACCCCTGCTTCCATTTCACACATCCTCTTTGTGAAGCGGGATGTTCTGCAGTGACGGCAATCAAAACTAAATGACGGAGTAGACTGGACATCAGGAACACACTTCGGGTGTCATTGTCTCCCGTTACCCCCAGATGGGACCGTCTCGTTGCAGAGAAACAAGCTCAGGGCTCCCACTGACTCAGCGTTATTGTGAGTTGTATTTATTTATGCATTTTGTATTTGTTTTCATGCCGATCGTATCATTTTATTTCGTCGTGTTTTTCCGCCACACCTTGAAGGCCGGTCCGTGAAAATATTGTCTTACATGAAACCGGTCCGTGGTGCAAAAAAGGCTGGGGACCACTGGTGTAGAGGATCAGGTGCACCTCGATTGGCAGTGCAGATTGTCTGGGGAGGGACAACAGCACAGCCAACATATACAGCCGACATGTCGAAAAAAAGTCATAGCAGTAAAATATAAATTGTGTAATCTTTTCTTCCAATCAGAGCAGTGAAATGTGCCACCCAAACAAAAAATAATTTATAGAAAGACTTATTATTATTTGTCTTAACTATTATCCACCAAATAATTCAGTTCAGAACAGTTTTAAGGTCTTAAATCCATCAATTGCCTAATTACCAAACTGGTGGCAGGTGAGATTTGGGTGTGGCTATAATTACCACAGTACACGGGATGCAACATATTAGCGTTTGAATTTGCAAACATAGACAGCTTAACAATGTTAAAAGGATCATTTGTGGAGTTACTTGCAACAGCTTAAACTTTTGTTGTGACTTGTTGCATGTATGATTTAAAATAGCTGCGAAGCAATAGACAAAATGATTTTTTTTTTTAATATACAGTGTTGTATCATTACTGCTAATGGGTCATAATGTGTGGAGTTTTGTGAAACCTGTGCCATGGAAAACATGATGAACGCTGGACTAGAAAATAGTGAATTCATAAAAGGAGACATTATCTGCTGTTGAGAATAGAATAGAATGCTGGATGGAACTGGTACACAGCAGAGTTCTCTAAATTAGAATGTTGAGGTGTCGTCTTGTGGATGAAGCCGGGTGCTCCACAGAGGACAGCTGGGGAGCTCTGAAGTAAGCCACAGGCAAAACCACTCGTCACAATTTCTAGTGACGTATTTTATTTTATTTTATTGGTCAGGCTTCCTGGGGGGCTCCCTGTTGACGTGAAGGTCTATCATCTGGCAAATTGGCAGATGAACTTGCAAGCTTTTCAACCTCACTTCAGGCTTCCGGTGTGTCCGATGTAGGATGATGGGGTAAGATACTGGCACCAAACTCCTGTCGTGTAAACCAGTAGCATATCTGACCTGTAACTTTGGATTCAGAATAGACTTTGACTGCTACCACTTTTCATAATTTGGCTCAGGATGTTTGGTGCCACCATGATGATTTTAGGATTACCAAATCCCTCCTTGAATATCAAATTGTTCACATTGATCATTTACTTAGAGTTGAGGACAGTAAAACTTAGAGAGCTTTGCTTATAGGAGGGATATTTTGAAATATAGTATTTATAATCATACAGTTGTAAATTAATTAGTTCTCTTCTGTGCAGTCAGCTGTCATTTCAGTACAAACCGATGTGACCCTCCTCCCCATTCATCATCACATCCGGTGCTCAAGGTTTCTTCCACGGAGGGCAGTCCCACTCAAACATGCCATCATCTAGATCTTCAGCCTAGATGGTGGAGCCTGTCTTCAACAACTCCACCAGTGTCGACTCTCCAAAATTTTTACTTTACTTTGCACAATTTAATAAATGTATTTGTTCACTGTAAATTAAGTTTCTCCTGATTTAACAACCTGTGTCTCCCTGTATAAGTCTATCAATTATCTCCCGGTGGCTTCAGTTCTATGAAGGTATATTTGTGTCTTTATTACGCAAACAACAAAAAAATGTTTTAAAAGCAAATTTCTCGCACTGCAATCAAAAATCAAGTTTGTAAGTGAAATATATAAACTGAGAATAATTTATTTGTTAGTTTTGCTTATGAAACTAGAATTTCTGGTTAACAAAAACAATATCTTTGGTTTAAAAAAAAAAAAAAAAATCTTTCATTTAAAAAAAAAAAAAAAGCTTTGGTTTCAAAACGAAAAGCTGAGTTGAGTTTTTTGTTTGCGTAATAAAGACACAAATACACCTTCATGGGCGGGGCATACGCTGCTGAATGTGCCGGGAGTTTCTATTGGTCGGTTTGACTTGGCTCTCGGTATCTGCTCCATTAAACACGGACGGGAGGTTACGGTGACATGGAGGTAAATTGACATTATACTGCTCTGTTTTGTCAAAATGATTTTAAATGTAGCAGCACTTCACTTTGTTTTCATGTTGTTAGCGTCTCTTTTTTTAAAGAATGACATGGAGGGCTGCTGTGTTGACATGAAGCGCAGCTAACCTTAGCTAACATAGCCATGCCTCAGGCAAAGTGCATGTAACGTTAGCCCACAGTGGGAGCTATAACATCACATGTTTGTTAAAATCATTGGTTAAGTTACGTGACATTTGTAGCTGACAAGCTAACTAAAGTTAGCGGTAGCTCGTCTGCCTGTATCCGACCATAGTTAAGCCTTCTAAAGTAACTTTTTTTGCCTTCACTTTCAAACTTCAGAGGTTGAATCATATCTTACTGAGATTGTGACGATTTTACAGATCATTTATACTTCATATTATGTCCTTAAACGGACCAACAGGAGCTCAGGTTGTGAACCTGAAATATCACTTTAAGTCCGGTAACGTTACAAACGAGATTAATTACAAGGATAAACTGAATTTGAGTATTTTGCACCTTTTGTTTTGTGGTGTGAAATAAAACTAACTACGTTTTGTTTTAGGGAGCCAGGAGCAAACGGCTCAGTTCATCAAGCTGAGGGGGAAGAACGACGGCCTCTTCACCAGGGACAAACATTCAGCAACCATAGCTTTGGATTAAGACATTAGTCCATTTGTAATATCTCCATTTGACCATCCTGTACTTAAGGTTACAGTTACATTAGCTCTACTCCTATATAAAGCCTTTACTAATAGGACAACCAGTAGAGAGGACAATACACTTCTGATGTGTTATTGTGATGTCACCTTTTTCTTTCTTTTATTTAAATTGAAATAAGACATCCATGTAAATGATTTCTATGTGAATATGTATATATTCTGCTGTGTAAAATTTGTCAATCTTCTAAGTTTGCATCCATGTGTTAACATTATTGATAAATGTTTCTCTGTTCATCATTTTCTCAATGTAGTTTGGACAATTTTGGCAGTCACCCTCCCAACTGCAAGTTAATAAACACGTTTGCTGATATTTGTTTTGCTGCTGTTGTTTTTGTTAACTGTCCTCTGCCTTAGGATTGCAAGTATCCAGGCTCTTTTCTCTACTAGAAAGATTGAGAAATATATATGTATATATACATGTATGTATATATACATATATATTTATTTATTTCATTCACACATATATATATATATATATACATGCATGTATATATATGTATAATTAATATGATTATTAATTTAGAAAAACTACATTA